TGTATGTAAGAGCAGATGGGTTTTCCTTCCCGCGTTAGTCCTCAGGATGGGCTAATCTGCAGAGTATTTCACCCATAGCTCATTGTTTTTTGGAGACATCTCAGCAAACACCTTTGTCCTTGGGTAATCAAGGTGCTGCACTTCATTTATTCAAATAGTTATTGAGACAGATGCCCTATCTTTCAGTCAAAGGGAGCAGTGTGTGTAAAAGAAAAAATGTACAAGGGGAAAAGTGACAAGCTCCTCATACAAGTAATTTTATGTTCCTGGAGCAGAGCTTATAAGAGAGAAGCAAGGAAGGTAAAATGGGATTGAATTATAAAGGTCTTTGGCTTGGCAACTCTTTTTTTTTTTTTTAAATATATTTTATTGATTTTTTACAGAAAGGAAGGGAGAGAGATAGAGAGCTAGAAACGTCGATGAGAGAGAAACATCCACCAGCTGCCTCTTGCACACCCCCCTCACTGGGGATGTGCCCGCAACCCAGGTACATGCCCTTGACCAGAATCGAACCTGGGACCATTCAGTCCGCAGGCCAACGCTCTACCACTGAGCCAAACCGGTTTCAGCGGCAACTCTTATTTCAATTTATTTATTGAAGTAAAACACTTATGCCCAGTTGGCCAGGGTGGCTCAGTGATTGAGTGTTGACCTATGAACCAGGAAGTCACGGTTTGATTCTGGGTCAAGGAACATGCCTGGATTTCAGACTTGATCCCCAGTAGGAGGCATGCAGAAGGCAGCTGATCAATGATTCTCTCTCATCATTAATGTTTCTATCTCTCCCCTCTCTTTTCCTTTCTGAAATAAATAAAATATCTTTAAAAAATACACAATAAGTGCATAAGGTGCAAAATTTCCAGCCAACATTTCAACAAATTTTTATATATGGGCACATCCATATACACCCAGATCTAGTGGAACATTCCCAGCATTCCAAAGGTGCCTGCATGCTCCTTCCCAGTCAATACCCATCCCCAGAGGGAACTACTGTTTTGGATTCTATTGCTATGAATCAGTTCTACCTACTCTTAAATTCCATAGACATGGAATTTTACAGTATGTACCCTTTTATATCTGGTTTCTTTCACTCAGTGTAATGATCATGAAATGCCTCCATATTGCTTGTTTCAGAGTTTGATCGTTCTCTTGCTCCATGGTATTCCATTGAAAGACTATTGCACAATTTGTTCATGTGTTCTGTAGTTGGTGGACATGAGGGTTATTTCCAGTTCCGTGCTAGTGTGAACACAGCTATTCTGAACATTCTTATACATGTTCTTTGGTGCACTTATGCACTAATTTCTCTGAGGTATATACCTAGAAGCGGATAGGCATGTTTTGCTACAGTAGATACAACCCAACAGTTCTCCAGAGTGGTTATATCAAGAGAGTTTTGACTTTAGCCCAAGGAAGACTGGGAATGGTATGAAATTTACATCTCACTTTGGCAGCCATTGTGGAAGGTGCACAGAAAAGGGGTGAGTGTCCAGACAGGGAGACCGGTAAGGAACCATGACCAGGGCAACAGACCAGGTGGGGGATGATTCGGCCCTGAGCTCAGGCAGCTGGTGGAGGAAGAGGATGGTTTTGAGAGATGGTATAAAGGTAGAGTTGATGGGATTGTTTGGATGTGGTGGGGAGAGAGTCCAGGATGCCTGCCTGGTCTCTGAGTTGGTGAATGGAGGTGACTTCTCTCAGAGAGAGAGCATTGTGGAGGAGCGGGTTTGAGGAAGATGAGCTCCCTTTTGAACAGATCTAATCTAAGGGACTGTGAAGGTGGTAGTAGCTAGTAGGCAATTGGAAGTACAGGACTGAAGCTAAGGGGAGAAATCTAAACTAGGGATTTCTAGTCTGAAATCCTGGGAATGAGTGAACCATGGGGAAGAGTGTGTGAAAAGGGGATTCCCAAGAAGATGATCAAGAAGGCTTTTCCTGCCTGGCCAGAGTGGCTCAGTGGTTGAGCATCAACCTATGAACCAGGAGGTCACAGTTGGATTCCTGGTCAGGGCACATGCCCAGGTTGTGGGCTTGATCTCCAGTGTGTGGGGCATGTGGGAGACAGTCGATCAATGTTTCTCTCTCATCATTGATGTTTCTGTCTCTTTTCTCTCTCTGAAATCAATAATTAATTAATTAATTAAGTAATTAATTTATTTTTAAAGAAGGCTTTTCCTGAGAGGTAGGAAGAAAGCCAGGAGCTTGCCTGCTTTGGTAAAAACTCAGGGGAGGGACACTTTCTATAATAAAAGGAGTTTCCAGAGACTGCTGAGGAGTCAGGAAGATGGTCATTGAAAAGTGTCCTATGAACACTGAGCTTAAACTCGTCACTCACAGTCAGGGATTCTCCATCTCAACAGTCTGGAATCAGAAGTCCACACCATTGAGACGGGGCTGGCTGGCTGGGCTGCCTCTCCCCTCAAGCCTCAGTCCAGGGGCAGTGCCTGTGGCCTCTCAAAGTGTGCGGGGACCTCAGCTGGACAATAGAGGGCAGACAGTAGCTAGTGCATGGCCCACAGAGTCCCTCCTGACATCGGAACACTGAGACATTGACGTTTGAACACAAATTTCCCCACGGAAATCCCCAGCTGTGAGCCATAGTGGCTTTAATCTAACTGTCAGAAAGGTTGCCCAGGACTCTGAGAGCACCCAGCTGGAAGCACATTTGCTGAAGGTTGGGGCAAACAAACCAGAATCCAGAACGTTTTTAAAGATCTGTGCCGGTGGTGAACTTTTCCAGGAAACATAACAAAAACGGACCCTCTTGGGCAAAAAGCACTGGGTCTTCATTTGTATTCTTACTGAAATATAAACCCGGGAGACGGTGAAGGGGAAGACCAGCGCACGTCTCATTTCTTTAGCAGGCACAGGGGCTGGAGGAGGCTCCCGCGGTTTAATAGGCAGCTTTATGTATTTATATGCTCTGACCGGAGCTAAAGAGCGCCACGCCACACAATGGGCAGCTTCTGGTTGGATTTTAAAAGAAAATAACTTTGATCGTTTCAAAAGCAATGAAGCCTGATGCAGCGCGGAGAAAAGAGGGCAGTAATTTATGGCCACCATTAAGGACACAAAGACAAAGGCAGCGGGGACGTTTGGCTAAGTGAAGACGTACCAATGTGTAAAGCCCACCCTTACGCCTGGGAGAAGCGGAGTGACTGCCCGCACCACACAAAGGGGGCGGGAGACAGAACAAGGGGTGCAACCTGCCTGCCTTCCCTGGGGATGGAAAGGTCAGAAAGAAAACAACACAGAAGGTTATTTTCTCAGCTTCTCCACCAGGCAGCGGCATTAGCCAGGAAGGCCCGAACAGATAGACCCAGCCTGGGTTCCCTGGGCACGGGAGGGGTCAGCGGGGGTGGGGTGGGGGAGGATCCTGGGAGGATGGGCCGTAAGAAGATGTTTTTGTGCATGAGCTAGGCGGGGATTTTTTGTAGTTTTTCCTTTTTCATTTATTTGTTTATTTTATTTTATTTTTTAAAATATATTTTATTGATATTTTACAGAGAGGAATGGAGAGAGCTAGAGAGCTAGAAACGTCAATGAGAGAGAAACATCAACCAGCTGCCTCTTGCACACCCCCTACCGGGGATGTGCCCGCAATCAAGGTACATGCCCTTCACCAGAATCGAACCTGGGACCTTTCAGTCCGCAGACCGACGCTCTATCCACTGAGCCAAACCGGTTTTGGCTATTTGTTTATTTTAATATATTTTATTGACTTTTCACAGAGAGGAAGGGAGAGGGATAGATAGCTAGAAACATTGATGAGAGAGAATCATTGATCAGTTGCTTCTTGTACACCCCCCACTGGGGATGTGCCCGCAACCAAGGTACATGCCCCTGACCGGAATCCAACCTGAGACCCTTCAGTCCGCAGACCGATGCTCTATCCCCTGAGCCAAACCGGTCTCGGCCCTTTTTCTTTTTTTTAATCAAAGGAATGAATAGATAGATATAGACATAAATATAGATACAAATGCACATGTATATATGTGAATATTCACAGGAGAAAATGCAATAAATACAGAGATGCTCAAAGAACATAAACATCCCTGAGTATGGTGTTTGCTGCATCTAGGAATGGCTGCTACAATTTCTTCCCGGAGTGATGCAGAACTCAGTGGGATGCAGTCTTTGGTGCCCAGGGCGGTGCGGGAAGGCCCCAGGAGCGTGTTCCCTTAGAAGGATGTCTTGTGTGGGGGCCGGGTGGTCGGGGGTCAGACCTGACCTTTGTGAGGTCAGGAGGTCACAGATACCACGTGTGCCCCAGGCGAAGTTGGGGCTGAGTCTTGTCCCTGGTGGCTCACCCTTGACTTCTTAGCCCCCTTTCCCTTCACCTTTTAGGCTGCCCTGAAGAGAGAGGTCCCTGGTTTTCGGGGAAGTGGGCATTTTCTGCTGTGACTCCGGGTTCAGGGTGTCCCTGAGTCTCAGGAGGCCCCACGGGGGGCAGGTGGGCGCTGCCTTCAGAGTGTGTGCAGCGGGAAATCAGAGGGCAGAGCAGAGAGAGGTGCAGAGGGTGTCTGAGGTGAGCAGAGAACTGGGGTCCCCGCTGCACTGAGCTCTCCTGAGTGGCAGTGTGTGTGCAATCACCCCATCCATCCACACGTGCCCCAGACCCCAAAGCCCCCTTCCCAGTGGGGAAGCCCTGAAGGGGGCTTTGGGGTCTGGGGACTCTAGGACTCTGAGGTCCGAGCAGCTCAGGTTGGCAGGCTGTCTGTCCTCCCAGGGGGACCCCGCAGCCGGCACACGGGCAGGGCGGGAGGCTGAGCCCCAGCAGGATGGGAGTGCGGGTTGGGGGGCCCCCAGATTTGGTCCCGGGCCCGGGGGCGGGAGAGGGCGCGGCCGCCCGCACGGACGGCCACCGAGGCCGCGCCCCCTGCGCCCGGAGCGAGGGGCGGGCGGGGGAGGACCGTGTGAACGAGGCCGGGCGGGCGGGGCCGGCGGTGTCAGCGCGGCGGCCGGGCCGCACTCCCCTCGGAGCCGCCGCCGCGCCTGCCATGGGGGCCGCGGGCCCCGGGGCGGCCCGGGCGCTGCTGCCGCTGCTGCTGCCGCTGCTGCTGCGGGCGGCGGTGCTGCCCGGCCCGGGCCGCGTCCCCGCGCCGCCCGACGGTGAGTGTCCGCCCCGCGGGGCGCACCTGGCGGGGGGGGGGTTCCCGCTTCCCCGGCGGCTCGGGGCCCCGGACGGGGCTGCGGAGCTCCGCGTGGCCCCGCTCCCCCGGGGCCTCACCCCTTGGCCAGGCCGAGGCGCCACGACCGCGGGGGCGGGAGGCCCAGGGCCGGCCTCGGACCCGGGCCGATGACAGTTCCGTCCGTCAGGGGCCCCCGGACAGTGCCCGCCGGTCAGACGCTCCCCTGCCGAGCAGGGCGCAGGGCATCGGGGTCTCAGGTCCGGTTCCTCCTCGCCCAGATGGGGAGGCGGGGGCCGGGGCCGCGGCCAGGGCACTCCAGTCCGTGGGGCAGCTTCGCTCCTGCTCCCTGGAGGCCCCGGGGGCTCTTCGGGGGCTTCGGAGTCGGATCCCGGGATGGATCTCTGTGCGGAGCAGCCGCTGCCGGAGGATCCCGGGATCCTGCAAGCAGCCGCCAGCCCGGCTCTGGGGCCGGCGTGGATGAGGACTCCGGACAGTCTTCGCTAACCCGACTCGAAATCCTTTCAAAACTTTTGTTTTTAATTAACCTCCTGGAGTGATGCCAACCAGGAAACACCCCTGCCAGGCCTGTGTCCAGGCTGAGAGGGCGAGCAGGGGCGCAGGGGGTGCCATTCCCTCTGGGCACCACCTGGGAGCCGGCGCGGTGCGCAGAGCCCCGGCCAGCCTTCTGCCCAGAGCATCCCCGAGAGGAAGCTGACGGACCGCTCAGGGCTCCCGGTCACACGTGCAGGCATTTGCTGTTTCCTGCCCGTGTTCCCAGCCACGGGGCAGGGGCCCAATCTGTAATCAAGGTGGGGAGGCGGGCAGGAAAACAGTGACAACCTGCAGTGAAAGGAGAGAAACGGGGGGGGGGGAGCACATCCTGGGAGACCCCTCCCCGCCCCGCGGGGGTCCTGGTGGGCCTCCTGGAGCGGGTGGCTCTGAGCTGAGGCTCCAAGGCGCTCGGAAAGGGTGGGGAGTATCGCAGTCGGAAGGGCCAGGCTGTGCCTGGAACCGCATGGCAAACGGGATGCATCCCAGAGGCTCCCCAGCCGGTTCGCGGGTGGAGCGTGAAGGCGGGTGGGAGGTGATGGCAGAGAGGGGCCGGGGTTAGAGCACACAGGGCTCGGGGCACCCGGCCAGGAGCTGCCGTGCTCTTTTGCAGATGTGGACGAGTGTGCCCACGGGCTGGATGACTGCCATCCCAATGCCCTGTGTCAGAACACGCCCACCTCCTACAAGTGCTCCTGCAAGCCTGGCTACCACGGGGAGGGCAGGCAGTGTGCGGGTAAGTGTCTCGGGGACCGTGGTGGTGGGCCGGCAGGGGACACTCCCCACCTCCTAGGCTCCTGTGGTGGCCACTCATGTCGCTGAAAGTCCTGCCGCTTCCCCTGAGTCACTGCCCTTTCCCCCTTCCCTACCTCCCTCCCCCCCCCCCCCCCCACACACACACTGCCATCCTCCAGGGACTGGGGATCAGGCCTTCCTCAGAGCTGATCATACAGTTGAGGTGGCTAGCTTCTAAAAAGGAAAAGAGGTTGTTTTAGTATCTTTTGGTGCCACTCAGTTTGGGGGCAGAAAGTCAGCAGGAGGCTGTGCTAGCCAGAGCAGCAGATCCCGCTCTCCCCTCTGGGTTTGCACCTTCTCTCTGGAGTCTGAGCGCCAGGGGCCTGCCCTCCCCGCAGGCTCTGCAGCTCCACCTTGTCCCTGGCTCTGGGCGGCTTGGGGCTGTGACCCGCCACACTTGAGAGCTACACCCGGGGCCTGCCTCGTCTGGAGCTGCCAGTTCACCCTGGAAAGATGTGTTCGGAAGGAGCCTGAGGTCTGGACTCTGCCACTTGGCGTCCTTGGCCCCTGGGGGTTAGCTCAGCGTCGTGAACTCTGAAGTTCAGAACCAGCTGGAGACTGGACTCTCGTAGCAGGAGGCTGTTCCTGGGGTTGGAAATCATAGCCTGTGGGAGCGGGCAGGGCTGCTTTTCAGGGAGTTCTGAGCCAACCCCACCCTTCGTTTCACAGAGGGGAATGCTGAGGCCCAGGGGAGTTGGGAAAGGGCCTTGTGGCTATGACCACACAATTAGCTCGCAGGTAGAAGGAAGTCAGATCTGCCCTCCAGCCCTGGCCGAGGCCCCATGTCCCTTCTGTTCGCTCAGCCTCCCGCTGTCCCTCTTTGGTTGGGTGAGAAATCCTATCTTATGGTCTCCTTTTTGCTGAGGAGCAAAACTCCTGCCTCTTCCATCAGGGGAGGCATGCGCCTGGTCAGGTCACAGCAAGCGGGGTTGGCAGTCCATCCATAAAGGCCTTCTGTGTCTTCAAATTCATGCTTTCTCAGAGACAGACATCCATCTCTCTAACTGCCCTCCATCACGGGAAGCCGAAAAGCTACCTCTCCCTGACACATCTGTGTGTCCTTCCATACCGCCCCCTCACCATCTTAAATGTTTTTTAAAATATAGTTTATTGATTTTTACAGAGAGTAGGAGAGAGGGATAGGGAGTTAGAAACATCAATGAGAGAGAATCATCGACCAGCTGCCTCTTGCACACCCCTTACTGGGATGTGCCTGCAACCAAGGAACATGCCTTTGACTGGAATCAAATCCGGGACCTTTCAGTCCGCAGGCTGATGCGCTATCCGCTGAGCCAAACCGGTTTCGGCCATCTTACATATTTTATTGACAGTATTGGAATTCACATGTGTTGGTACCCTGCCTGGGGGGGAAATGTTCACTTTTTCACGTGTCCTCTGGTCCCTGTGTCCTCTTTGGGGGCAGGAACCAGGCCACAGCTTCTTCCGGATCAAAGCGCCTATTTAGTAAATGATGTCAAATGACAGGTGGCAAGAGTTTCCTTATTCTTAGCTGTTGGGTTATAATCAAAATTAAAATTGAATTGCTAACAGTTTGTAGTTGAAAAGTCTACTATTGATTTTAAAATAACAATTGATTCACTGACATTGTTGCTTTTATGTACTTAAATTGCTATTTAACATAATATATGATTAGTGTCATAAAAGTTAAGCAGCACAAAACGAAAAAAAAAACACACACACACACAAAAAAACCCAGAAAATTTGTCCAGCGGTAATCACCATTAACATGGAGCATATATTCTTTGCATTTCAAACTAAAACCCTAGGAGAGTTTGCTCTTTGAATACTTGCAATATGTATAAACCTAACGAGTAAGGACGTCCTGTTTAGTTTGGACTTCTTGGTACAGGAGTCCAGAAGGAGAAGGATTGCAAGGATTTAAAGATGTAACTCCTTTATGTGTGTTTCTTGGCTTATTAGTTTTTAAGTCTCTTGGATCCAATCCAGGGTATCATTTGCTCCTGTATCCATAAACTTTCTTCTGCCCAAATGTTAGAGATGAGAAAGTGTGGGCCCTGGAAAGTCTTTAAACATTTTAAAAAAATATATATTTTATTGATTTTTTTACAGAGAGGAAGAGAGAGGGATAGAGAGTTAGAAACATTGATGAGAGAGAATCATCAATCAGCTGCCTCCTGCACACCCCCTACTGGGGATGTGCCTGCAACCAAGTTACATGCCCATGACCGGAATCGAACCCGGGACTGGGACCTTTTAGTCTGCAGGCCGACAGTCTATCCACTGAGCCAAACCGGTTTCGGCTGGAAAGTCTTTTTTAAACAAGGTGATTCATAAGTGGCTTAAAGTATCTAAACATCTTTAGAGAAAGATTTTTTATTTTAAATGATCTTTGCTTTTATCTCAGACTGCAGGGAGGGGATGTTTCAGTGGTCAGTAATCAGTATATGGTCCTTACTTTCCAGTTTAGGGAACTGAATTAAGTTTAACAAAAGTGAATGTGAACTTGACCTTTGTATAGGAGCTGTATTTAAATTTTTTTTTTACTTAGAGATTATTTTAGGCTTCAGAAATTTTGCAAAAATAGTGCAGAACTCATATGTGCCCTTCATTTATCTTACTCAAATATTAACAACTCATATAAATATAATACAGTATCAAAACCAGGAAATTAATATCTCCACAATATTAACTAAACTATAGACCATATTCAAATTTCACCTTTTTTTTCTTTAAACATTCTTCTGCCCTAACCCCTCCCACCCACTCCAGGATCCAAGAAGTCCCACGTGACATTTATCTGTGGTCTGTCTGTCTCCTCCAGCCTATAACAGCCCCTCAGTCTTCCCTGGTCTTTCCTGCCACGGACACTTGACGAATACAGTTTAGTTCTTTTGTTTGCCTTATATTTCCTCATGATAAGCATTGATATGGCAGGAATTGAAAAGATAAGAGTTACTCCCTCCTCCTATTCCATTGCCCTGTACCCATTCCTCCTTCTCTCCACCCCTTTCCCCACACACTGTGGGTCACCATCTCTGCGATGTCTGTTTTTCCCATGATAGGAGTGTGGTTATGGGTTTGTAGTAAAACCACAGCGAAACGTTGACAAGGCTGCTGTGGAAGTGCCACTGTGCATCCCACGGGGAGCTCGCAATGGCAGCATGCTAACAGGTGATGATACCATTGACGCCTGGTGAAGATGGCATATTCTGGGTCTCTCCGCTGCAAACTTAGTATTTTTTCTTTCCATAGACACATGGCTTGGAGCCTATACACTCAGCCTACGCTAATATTCTGTTTCTTCTCAAGTTGTTGCCCTTGGATTTCAGAATCCAACTATGGATCTTGCCTGCAACAATTATTACTATGATGTTGCCTCTTGGTAATTTTGTATTTCCACTCTTCTTTATACACCTATTAAACTGGTATTATTCTATAAGGAAGATTCCTTCTCCACAATTCATTCATGCATTGATTTCTATGTTTATGTATTTATGCCAGTATGTACTTGAGAATATTTATTTAATTACTAGAGGCCCAGTGCATGAATTTGTGCACAGCAATTGGGCTGACGGAGTTGGGGGCAGCCAGCCTGGGGAAGGGGCTGTGGGAGGTTGGCCAGCCACTGGGGATGCAGGGTGGTGGGGGAGAGGGACTCCAGGAGGTTGCCCAGCCATAGAAGGTTGGCTATGGGAATACCCTGATCACCAGGGGACAGCTCCTCCATTGAGCATCTGCCCCCTGGTGGTCAGTTATCATAATAACTGGTCAAGCTGTTGTTCAGTTGCTTAGGCTTTTATATATATATATATATATATATATATATATATATATATATATATATATATATATATTTCTTTCTGGCTCAATTTTTAGTTATTTATTTAGTTATTTATTTCTGGCTCAATTTGTGTGTGTGTGTGTGTGTGTGTGTGTGTGTGTATGTATGTATGTAAGTAACAGTGAGTTACACTGATACTTCGTTTTTTGTTTTTTTAAAAATATATTTTAATGATTTTTCATAGAGAGAAAGGGAGAGGGATAGAGAGCCAGAAACATCGATGAGAGAGATACATCGACCAGCGGCCCCCTGCTCAGCCCCCATCAGGGATGTGCCCACAACCATGCCCCCAATTGGAATCGAATCTGGGACACTTCAGTCCGCAGACTGATGCTCCATTCACTGAGCCAAACCGGTTTCGGCTACACTGATACTTTGGATTCCAAAGCAATACTACAAGATTTATTTTAACCTCCTTTTTTGCTCATTCATAACTTCTTTCTCCAACGGAGAAACTTGGCTCAAATTCTTTCAGCTTTAGCCATTAGGAGCTCCATCACATTGTTAGTTGTGTCCTTTTCACATGCTCCAGTCATTTTAATGAGAAATTCCTAATTTTCTGGTGCCACAAAATGCTCCAAACTCATCTTCTATTTTCCCCCTGGAATCAACCACTTCTCCAAGGAGCCCTGATTCCTTTTATTGAAAAATGGTGTCTAGAAACCAAGATCTGGATCTTTGCTGTTTTCATTGTTACTGGGGTGATTACTCCTGGATCTTCTCAGTGGACAGAGCTAGAAAATATACTAGTATATATGTTTATTAGGCCCCCTCCCCACATCTCTATTAATTTTTTAAAGACATGTTTTTATTGATTTCAGAGAGAAGAAGGGAGAGGGAGAGAGAGGTAGAAACATCAATGATGAAAGAGAAGCATCAATTAGCTGCCTCATGCATCTCTCTGCCTCATGCATGCCCCCTACTGGGGATCATGCCTGCAACTTGGGCATGTATCTGACTAGGAATTGAACTGTGACCTCTTGGTTCATGGGTTGATACTCAATCACTAAGCAATACCAGCCAGACTATTAATGTTTTATATCTAACTCGTGTGTGTGTGTGTGTGTGTGTGTGTGTGTGTGTGTGTGCATAAGTAACAGTGAGTTACACTGATACTTTGGATTCCAAAGCAATACTGCAAGATTTTTTCTAACCTCCTTCTTTGCTTATTCATAACTTCTTTCTCCAACAGAGAAACATGGCTCTTAGTATTTGAAATATATTTACCAATCCTAGTTTGTTCAATTCTAGTATACAAATTAAGTATTTGCAGAATTGCCAATCTATACGCTGTGAGTAAAACAGGTTTGGTCATTAGAGGACAGTCTTTGTATACAGCTGTTTTTGTTTTTAACCTTACAACAGCCAGTCCAGATATTGTTTTTCAAAGTTACTTCAGCTAGTGTTTTTCTTTCCCATTCTCTTTAGTGTGGTTCTTTTATAATATAGTAAATTTGTTTGTTCCCCCCTATTTGTATTCCATTTAAAAATATATATATTTTATTGAGTTTTTTACAGAGAGGAAGGCGGAGAGATAGAGAGCTAGAAACGTCGATGAGAGAGATACATCGACCAGCTGCCTCTTGCACACCCCCTACCGGGGATGTGCTCGCAACCAACGTACATGCCCCTGACCAGAATGGAACCCGGGACCCTTCAGTCTGCAGACCGACGCTCTACCATTGAGCCAAACCGGTTTCGGCTGTATTCCATTTTTTATGCCTCACTTTACCCCATCCCTGTTTCTTTTACTTAATATTATATCTTAGAAACCATTCCAAATCAGTCACAGAGGTCGTTACCACTGTTGTTTTTAACAGCTGCATAGTAATTTGTTGAGTAAATGTACCATAATTCTTCAATTACTCTGCTCTGACTTATAACCTCTGCATTTAAGTTGGTCTTAGTATTTTGTAATTACAAATGCTGCAGGAAATAGTTATTTTCATATTTACTTTCCTGTTGTTGGAGATGTGTCTTCAGGGTAGATTCCTAGACATGGAGTGGCTGGTTTAAAGATAAATATATAGATCTCCATGCTACAGAAAATAGCATCTGACTGACTGGTTTACTTCCCTTTCATTCCTCAGACATTGATGAGTGTGAAAACGAACTCAAAGGAGGCTGTGTCCATGACTGTTTGAATATTCCGGGCAATTACCGCTGCACTTGTTTTGATGGCTTCATGTTGGCTCATGACGGTCATAATTGTCTTGGTAAGCACAACGGTTGGGAACGGCAGTTCCCCTTTACCCTCCGGCACCCCCATCCTGGGTTCTCCTTTGATGAAATACTCATTAGAACAAAAAGGGGATCAGAGACTTGTGTTTTCTGGTCCCCTAGAAATCAGACTCTGATAGAAAACCCGATAAAATATTTTAGTTTAAAAAAAATATATTTTTTTTTATTGATTTCAGAAAGAAAGGGAGAGGGAGAGAGATATAGGAAACATCAATGATGAGAGAAAATCACTGATCGACTGCCTCCTGCACACCCCTCACTGGGGATCCAGCCCACAACTGACCGGGAATCGAACCATGACCTCCTGGTTCACTGGTCGACGCTCAACTACTGAGCCACGCTGGCTGAGCATGTTTTAGTTTTTATTGTGATCATTCAGAATATAAATCCTCCACTAGTCCGAGGAGATGGGCAGGCACCATCATTACTACTCACTGACTTTTTAGCATTGACTTGTCACCTTTAAGATCTTTGATTTTGTGTTAAAAGGGTCTTGACTTATACCCTTATAACTCTTTTCTGCTGTAGGAGTCTCTGTTCTAGAATTAGGTAAAATTACGTGTCCCGAAGAATCCGAGTGTATGCTTGAATCTCAGCCAGGTAGACCCTCCCCTCTTTTTTTCTTGAAATAGAGAGAAATTCAAACAGAAACCTTCCATCAACATCCTTCTAAGTATTCCACTAAACAGAAACATCTGTTGGAGTTTCAGTCCCTGAGTTAGGGACTATAAGTGGTGTTTACATTGGTTTCTTATGCCCAGAATGAAACAGAACTTAGAAATAGCAGGCCATTGGGTAGGGCTGTGGGATGGACAGCCTTGGAGGATGCCGTACACCTGGCAGGCAGGTATTTTGGTCTGTTCGCACTGGAAGGCTGCTGTTATCCGCTGTGTGAGAACACATGGTGGGAGACAGCTGGCATCGGGTTCCTTTGACACTGGTGGCCCCTCATGGGGCTGACCCGCTGATGTCCACTGGGCTGACCGAGGCCCTGGCCCTGTGGGGACGGCTGTGCGATGCTCCCTCACGGTGCACTGGGAAGAGCCACTTGGTCGAATGCTTTGAGGTCAGCACAGACGTCACCGATAAGGACGGGCAGCGTTTGTGTTTGTGGGGGGCATTTTCCTTTGGGACTCACATTTCCCGTGACATTTATCCACTTTAGTGTCACCTGGGGCCTCATCCTGCCTGTGGCCTGGGTAGGCGGTCAGGCTTTGGGTAGCCACTTGGCTTGCTGGAGGGCTGGAGGATCGCTAAACCCTTTTCAAACTTTTAGGCCATCAGTGTTACATTAGAGACAATCCTGAGAGCAGCAACACATTGAGATCAATGAAAAACTCAAAAAGAGGAAACCACTTTCAGTGTATATTTGTTGGGAAGCATACAGTGTGTTTGTATCGTGGTGGTTGATTTTTGTTTTGTTGGTACCATTTTCTGGGGTTGGGGGCGGAAATCTCACATTTCCCTCTGATTTGCCAACAGCGGCATTTTGAGGACTTGGATCTGATAGCAGACCCTATCATCAGAGTTATGCTCACACACACAGCCTGGGAGAAGTGTGAGCTTCCTGAGAAGCCAAACCATCCAGGAGTTAGGACCCGGGCCAGGGGTGGGTGGGGTGGTTCTGAGCACAGGCCCCACTCAGAAACCCTGAGGCCTGGTCCTTCCTTGCCTGGCTGCTGACACAAGCTATTTCAGTGGACAATCTCCATTTCCGCCCTTGGGGGCCTCTCGGTGGGCTTTGTAGCAAGGATCTGCTCTGAAGAAAGATCCTGAGCATCCACGGACCCTCCCTGAACAGGCTGAGGATTCTTTACCAGGAAGGCACGAGGAAACCAAGTGGTTCACTAGGAAGGGCAGGACAGCATGCACAGCACAGACCTCTCTGCCAGCTCACCTGGGAGCGGCCGAAGCCCTGTGACCAGGAACCAGCTCAGAGCCAGGACGGCTCAGGAGTGGCCGCTTCCTGTGCTCTGTGGGATGAGCCCTCACCTCCCCCGGCCCCACTACCCACCCCTTAGCCACAGGCGTATCAGCCAGAATCTACAGAGCAAAACACCACGGAGCTCTGGCAGTCACCCCAGAGTCCTCCAGGATCGGAACTGCCTGTGAGCCTGAAAAATGAAACGCAGCCCTCCCGCCCGCCCCTCCCGCATCCCGTTTCTGTTTGCTGAGCGCCTGGAAGCGGGGCAGCGCGCCCGGGCGTTGTAGCAGCGGCTCTCCGCGCTGGCTGCCCAGCGGAATCACGTGGGGAGTTTTAAAACAACACCATGGCCGCTGTGGCCGGTGTGGCTCAGGTGGTTGGAGTGTTGTTCCAACACCAGAAGGTGGTGGGTTCAAATACTGGTCAGGGCACAAAATCTCTGCGTGCACTCCGGAGGCAATCAATAGATGTTTCTCTCTTTTCTTTCTCTCTCCCTCCTTCCCCCCTTTCCCTTTCTCGCTCTAAAAATCAATAGAAATGTGTCCTCAGGTGAGGATAACTAACTAACTAAAACAACACCATGGCCTAGGTCTCACTCAAGACTACTTCTATCCGTGTCTCAGAAGGCAGATTCAGGCCTCAGGGTTCTAGCGTGCAGCCCGGGGTATAAAATCCTGCTTTACAGTCCGGAGAAACTCACCAGCCTTGTGATACCCAGGCACTCCGTATTAAGTCAGTCAGAGTTAATGACACGTTTCTGATTGCTTTGGTGAAAGGGAATGGTGGGTGAAACCTGGGCTGGGGGGTGGCAGCTCCGAGGGGAGCACACCTTTCCCCAACGGTAAGGCAGGATTTGGGGTTCAGGGAGGCAGATCCCCCGGCTCCCGTGAGTCCTCGCTGAGGAACACCCAGGCCAGGTGTGCTCACCCTCAGGAATGTGCTCCCTTCGCCCTCTGGCACGGAGAAGGGCACGTTTGTTAGGCTGCAGGGGATGGCTCTGGGCCCATCAGTTTAGAAAGGCATCTGCTCGGTGTGGGAAGACCGATGCGGTAAGATCTGAAGCTTGAAACCAGATAACAGATATTTAAATGTGAATTTTCTCGTGACGAATGTGCCCAGGAGCTAGCGATAGGCACGTGGGAAGTCAGGCTGGCGGGGGCGGGGAGGGGAAGAAACGGCTTTTAGATCAGCCTTCTCCCCAGCCTCTCCCGTGTCCGAGGCGTCTCTAGAAGTTTCCGCTTCTCGGGCTCCCGGGGTGCTGTGCTCGTCTGCTTGCTGTTCACGCCCTGGACGGCCTGGGTGCCGCTGCAGGTTGCAGGCTGTGCTAATAAGACACACATCTTGGTCCTTAAGGAGTTTGCCATCCGGTGGAGATAAATAAGTAAAAGATTTTAGGGGTCATAGGTACAAGTTAAAAAAAAAAAAAAAAGATTTTAAGCCAAAACTGGTTTGGCTCAGTGGATAGAGCGTCTGCCTGCGGACTGAAAGGTCCCAGGTTCGATTCCAGTCAAGGGCATGTGCCTTGGTTGTGGGTATATCCCCAGTGCGGGGTGTGCAAGAGGCAGCTGATTGATGATTCTCTCTCATTGATATTTCTAACTCTCTATCCCTCTCTTCCTCTCTATAAAAAAAAATCAATAAAATATATTTTTTTAAAAAGATTTTGAGACTGCAGTTCGGTAAGTATATGATGAAGCCACGTGCATGTGACTCCGTGGGAGGAAAGTCCCCTCTCCCCCCCTGAGGGGTGGCCTTGGGGGAGGCATCCCCTTCCTGCATTTCTGAGGTCCATCTGGGGGGTGGGAGGGGGCTCCTGCTGTCTCCTCTGCCTCCTCCTTCGCTGGTATTCTCCCCGATTCCGTCTCTGGCTCCCTTCCCGCTCCCTCTCTCCCTCCCCTCACTCCCGTCTCATACATTCACCGGTATCGGGCCATCACAAGCATGTGTGCCGTCTTTGCCACACCAGGCGTAGGTTTCCCACCACCTGCAAACTTTCCCCGGGTGGGGGTCAGCCACTCTCCACCCCATCTCCACACCCAGCGCTGCATCCCTCCGTGTTTCTTAGCCACCCCACCACCTGCCCGCACGGCTCGCTGCCCTGCAGGCACCTGCCCACAGCCTCTTCTATTCCTCCTCGGCATCCCCCCTGCCAGGCCCACTGGTCCCCACCGGCCCCCACGTCCTGGGCATGGCTGTTCCAGGCACTCGTGTGAAGTCGGACCCCAGGCTTTTGATTCTTCCCCTTCCCTGTGTCCTTCCCTCAGTGGCTGGGCTGCTTTGTTCCTTCCAACATGGGGGTCCGCCACCCTGCTCCCGAGGGTCCCCACGTAGGGCCATGTAGGGCCTCCTTGGTTTGTTATTCAGGGTCCTTTGCAGTGTGACCCCGAATCTACTTCCCAGCTCTCTCCTGAAACTTCCCTGCTTGTACCCACGCTCCATCCAGCCCAGGGGGGTGACCCGCTGCTGCTGGAACAGACCCCGTGCTCCCCGGCCTTCCGGCTGGTTCTCACGCTCCTTCTTCTGCCAGGAACCCCTTCTCCTGGTTTGTAATTGAAGAAATCCTGCAGGGCCCCGCATCCCTCACCAGCTTCTCCACAAAACCCATCCTGACATGCGCAACCACACTCTCTTTCCTCTGTGCCACCTTCGACCATCTCTCAGGATTGCTTGTGCTTTTGTCTCTTCCCGGAGGGACATGCTCCGGACGGAAGGCATTGGATCTCACTCCTTTACCTTACGTTCTACTGCCTCCCCGAGCACCGTGCTTTGGAAAGAGAGGGTGTTCCATCAATATTTTCTGACTCAGTTCTCTTGTGTGCATATGGAGGGCCTTGTCTTAAGTGAGCCCCAGACCCGTGAGGGCTGGTTAGTCATCTGGGGTCCCACTGGCTCCCATCCTTACAGCTGCTGTGGGTATGGGAAGAGGGAATGGGAAGAGGGACCTTATCTCTGCTCAGGAGGAATCCCAGAGCTGCCTGCCGGGCTGGGTGGGGCGCTCAGTCGCCCAAGCGGAGGCTGAGCCTTCTCCCCTGCAGACGTGGACGAATGCCTGGACAACAACGGCGGCTGCCAGCACACCTGCCTCAACGCCCTGGGGAGCTACGAGTGCCGCTGCAAGGAGGGCTTCTTCCTGAGCGACAATCAGCACACGTGCATCCACCGCTCCGCAGGTACCGCGGCCTCCGGGGGCGGGGCCTGGAGGGGCGGGGCTTGGGGGAGGGGGCGGGGCCATGCCTGGGACTCCCCCACCAGCTCGGGGCCCCTGGAGGTCTGGAGGCTGAGGACACGCAGGCTCTGCTGCTGGGTACCCAGGCTTCTCCTTCACCTGGAAAACAAGTGGCTGAGCGCTGAGGTCTCTTCAAAAGTCCCAGTCTCAGATTCTAATCTCTGAGAAGGGTGCATTGCAAACACGACTAGATGTCTCAGGGGAAATGGACACTCTGCCAAGTTTTTCAGAAACCGTGCTGCAAACCACAGCACCAAGTGCGAGCCTGCTCCCTGCCCGGGGTGGGTGGGGAAGGGCCGGCCTTCCCGGGCTTTGCCCCGTGTTGGCCCCCGGCGAGGTCTGGCCTTCCCTGTGTTTTACATTTTTGAACTCTGAGCCTCTGAGGCTTCAGGGGCAGGAGGACTCCCCCACCTCCAGTCCCCCCAGGCTTGAGCTCCCTGTTTCTTTCACCCATGCTTACTTGCAGAAGACTCCTTCGATGGCCGTCTTTTTATTCTTGTTTTCTTCCTCTCTTCCTTCAGTGGGCTCCTGGGAGGGCGGAAGGTTGGGGCCTGTGGCCAGCCAGCCGCTCTTAACCAAATGACGGGCCTTCAGTTACGCTCTGCTTTTTCTCAAGCCGGGCAATCACACATGGGTGGCTGCCTTTCTCCTCCCAGGCTGGCCTGTGCCTGCTCTCAAAGGAAGGGCCCTACATATTAGACTATTGACTCCCTTTTAATAACTTAAGAATGAGGCCATTCTCCGTTCTCCCATTATTGACGCACAGATTTGTAGGTTTATTATTTTAATTGTGGTTTCGGTGGCTTTTCAGGGGTTTCTTTGGGGAAGATGACTTCTGCCTCATTTTCTAAGCAGGATGGCTCCTTCCTTATAGCTCACTGGAAAGTCTGTGTGGGTGCCAAGCTGGGTCAGAGAACTCATGGGGGGCCATGGGCTTGATGGCTCTCACTACCCGCTGGGTCACCGCAGTGTCTGAGTAGGGTTTCCACGCTCTGCCTCTCAGCCCGCAGCTCTCTGCCTCCTGCGGGCTGGATGGAGCGGCAGTTGGCTTTCATTTTCCCGCTGGTGTCTCTGGACTCTTGGGTGAGCTCTGTGTCTGGGAGAATTAAGGTGCCAGCAGCATAGGTGATCTGGTCTCAGAGTATCTCCCCTTTGGTTGCTCAAAGCTGCTTCCTGCAGCCTAGTAGGTTTGGCTCAGTGGATAGAGCATCGGCCTTGAAGACCAAAAGGTTCTGGGTTAGATTCCGATTAAGGGTACGTGCCTTGATTACAGGCTTCTCCCCAGGCCGGGCCCTGGACTGGGCTGGTATGGGAGGCAGCCAGTGGTTGTGTTTCTCTTGCATTGATGTTTCTCTCTGTCTTTCCCCTGCTCCCTTCCACTCTCCCTAAAAGTCCATGGAAAAATATCCTCGGGTGAGGATCAGCAAAACAAAACAAAAGCTGCTTCCTGAGAAGACACCCTGGGAGGGAGATGGGCACCTATAGGTCAAGCCATTGCTTGAACAACCCCTTTTCCCCCAGGGGGTCCCACTGGTTCACAGGGCCACGCGTCCTGAACCCTGGAGCTTCCAGAGCGGTGGCCCCTCTTTCCCCTCGGGCAAGCCCTCCAGGCTGACTCCAGACCCTGGCTCCTCACACAGCAAGTCCACACTAACGCGGTTCCGCTCCACAACCTGTGTTTTCTACGTTTTCTGTAATTCAGACATTCTTGGAGCCCCCGATGAGCATTTAAAATGAGGGTATTTGTCTGGAACTAAAACCAAAGTCCAAGAATTTGAGTTGTGGTCTGGAAGCGCGCGGGGATTTTCTGTTGTGCTTCGCCCCGGCGGCTTGGCAAACGCACGCCCGTGTGAGCCAACAGGTTACAGGCTCTGCGGCGGCTCCCCTTCCGCCCTGCGGTTTAACTCTTCAAACAGAACAAGCTCTACAAGGCGCTCCTTTAGGATTTCCTCCTTGACAGGCACGTGAAACCCTTAGAAATGGTATTAAAACAGACTTTAAAACCCATGGTGGATGCTCTTCAATCTAGTAGGGGATCCTAATAGCTGATTCTGAGGGGAAGCTTAAGGGATCGATTTAATTCTCAGAGATTCCGAAGCTCTGCCAGAGAGGCTGTGTGTTCTCACACATGGAATGGGGGTGAGCTGGAGAGAGACGGCGCCCCGGCCTGCCTTTGTTCCTATTCATGGTGCTCAGGCTCTCCAAAGGAGCATCCCTCTTTGGTTTTGTCTGCTCTGAGCTATTTTTAGATGTTGGTATTGCCCCATTGGCAAGGCACATTTTTATTCGGCTTCCAGAAGTGTTCTTCATTGAGATCCTGAGCCTGGGGACCGCCAAAATGGGGCATTTCCAATGTGTCTGAGCTGTTTTCCTCTTGGGGAACAGACAACCCTAACTCGACTGCCAGGCCCGTTTCTGGGGAGCCGGGACCTCGGGTGCCAGGCCCGCTTCTGGGGAGCCGGGACCTCCTGATGCGGGCCAGCCCCCGGGCCTCCCCAGCGATGTGCTTGTTCTGAGCCAGGCTGCTCCGAATGGCTCCGGGCCGCCCCTCGAAAAGCCTCCAGCATCTCAGAGCCACTGAAAGCTCCACTGGTTTCCTGGTAAGTTTAGGTCCAGCTTGATATGATAGGACCGTGGTCGGCAAACTGCAGCTCGAGAGCCACATGCTGATCTTTGGCTCCTTGAGTGTGGCTCTTCCACAAAATGCCACAGCCTGAGCGAGTCTATTTTTGAAGAAGTGGCATTAAAAGAAGTTTAAGTTTAAAAAATTTGGCTCTCAAAAGACATTTCAATCGTTGTATTGTTGATAGTTGGCTCTGTTGGTGAGTGAGTTTGCCGACCACTGTCCTAGGCAGACAGGACACTGCTTCCAGAGGCAGCTCTTGGCACTGGGAGAAAATAACATCTTCGGAAATCACCAGATTTCAAAGAGCCTGCCACTGACCCAGTGCAAGCCTCTCTGTGTCAATTGACAGAGTCCCAGCACCTGCCCACTGACAGAGTGCTGGCGTTCAAACAGCTCGTAACGGGCAGATAAAAACCAAGGTGGCGTTAGGAGACTGTGGGATGGGTTAATTGCTGCACTGCCTTTTGGAATACGAATGGCATCTGTTTGTATTAAACATTTATCCCAGTGAAGCGTAGGTCGATGGCTCTGCGGTAGAATTGGAGAGAGAGGACTCGACTTCAGTAGAACCCAGGGGCTAAGGATTTTGGGGCACAGTACACAACAGTGTGGGATCCTAGAGAAGTGGAATGGAAACCTTTTGTACTTACCTTTAAAACAGCGCTACTTCCAGGATTAGAAAGCATCTTGTTAGTAGAGAGCCAATGAGAACAAATCCCCTGCTCGCAAAGATGTTTTAGAGTTGTGTGGCACCGATTCGAAGAAGCATCACGTGAGTGCGTACTTAATAATGCACCACGGACTGAGCCGGCGTTGGGAGGATGCTCTTGGTCCGGGGTCGGCAAACTGCAGCTCATGAGCCACATGAGGCTCTTTGGCCCCTTGAGGGTGGCTCTTCCCCAAAATACCACGGCCTGGGCGAGTCTATTTTGAAGAAGTGGCGTTAGAAGAAGTTTAAGTTTAAAAATTTTGGCTCTCCAAAGAAATTTTAATCGTTGTACTGTTGATATTTGGCTCTGTTGACTAATGAGTTTGCCAACCACTGCTCTTGGGTATGGCAACAGTTCCTCTGGAGTGCCGCACCACAATGCTGCCAACCGCAGGGAGTACGCTTTGCCGTGGCCCCATCATTTCCATGTCTGTCTAATCTCCCGAGACAAGAACCACCTGTCCCCCTTCCCGCCACAAGATTGGGCCTAAGGAAACTTACACCCGACCTGAAAGAATTATACCGCAGCCAAGGCAAACCACACGTAGGAGGCCTCTCTCTGTTCCCTTCGCTGTCGTGTTGTTGTGTGACACTGTTAGGAGCTTGTGCCTCATGCCTGCTGAGGGGACGGGGAGAGGCAGGGACTAACTGAGGTGGTCCCAGCAGAGAGGCCCCTGCACACATGTCCCCGTGGTGGGGCCAGAACATGGTGGTCACAGTCACGTCCCGAGTGTGGATTTGGTTGGGGGTAGAAAGGAGGGCTGGAATTTCCTGAAAATCGTCTTCAAAAGGATGTGAAAATCCTGGGCCTCTGCTTCAGTCTCTCCGCAGGTTTTCTTGGGGGCACTCCTCTTCTCTCTGCGTCTCTGACCGGCATTGGTAACCGGTTCCTGGGGTCAGCAGGCTCTGACTCCATCCGGGTGGGAGCTTTGTATTTGGAGAATGGAGACGTCTTATCTCTTGGGTGACATAGGACATTTTTCATGTCTCTGTTGATTGACCTGCCTTGATGTTGATGACATATTCTTTAAAAACATGGGTGAGACCTGGGCAGGCAGGCCCGGGGCTCACCGCTGGCCCCATGCTGCTCTGTTTTGCAGAGGGTCTGAGCTGCATGAACAAGAACCATGGCTGCAGTCACATCTGCAAAGAGGCTCCCAAAGGCAGCGTCGCCTGCGAATGCCGACCTGGCTTCGAGCTGGCCAAGAACCAGAGGGACTGCGTCTGTAAGTATAGACTGGTGCACACTCGGGCTGGGCACCTTCCCGCCAGCATCAGAAATGCCTCCTCATGGCACCGCGGCAGCAGGGAAGGCAGCGGGCCTGCGACTCTGGCCTCCCTGAGGGCTCGCTCACTGCGCAAGGGTGGCCCCGAAAGGGAAGGGAAGTGGTGCTTTTTTATGGAACCAATCAGAAGGAAGTGGAATTCAGGAGTAAGGAGTGTGAGTGTTGAGGGCTGTGCATCCCCATTCCCACAGGATAAAATCAAACTTACTCCCCTGGGAGTCACGGTTCGTTGCTACCTGGTCCCTGCTTCTCTTAGATGTGTGTCCGCCTCTCCTTGCCTTTCAGAGATCAGCCCATGTTCTCTTAGGCCCACAAGCCTTTTCCCGGCACTCCGCCCTTCCTGGCGTGGTGAACTCTCGCTCAGCTTTTAATATCCTGCCTAACGTCTAATTATGACAAGGCTACCTTTGGGGCGTGGGCATTTATTATGTGCAAAGTCTCGCCCAAAGATGTATCGCGTCCCATTTATTTAAAAAAAAAATATTTTTGTTGATTTCAGAGAGAAAGGGAGTGAGATAGATAGATAGATAGATAGAAACATCAATGATGAGAGAGTATCATTGATTAGCTGCCTCCTGCACGCCTCTTACTGGGATCGAGTGCGCAACCTTGGGTACATGCCCTTGAACAGAATCGAACCTGGGACCCTTCAGTCCACAGGCTGATGCTCTATCCAGTCAGCCAAACCAGTCAGGGCATCATGTTCCATGTAATTCTTACAGTCACCATGCTAGGAGCTAAGCATTATTTTAGTTGAGAAAGTTGTGGAGATGGTAAAGCGACAAGGTCACGTGGGGAATGAGTGAAAAAATTAGGATTCAAGTGTGGGTCAGCCTACCTCTAGGGCCTGCACTCTTTTTTTTTTTTTTTTTTAATATATTTTATTGATTTTCCACAGAGAGGAAGAAAGAGGGATAGAGAACTAGAAACGTCGATGAGAGAGAAACATCGACCAACTGCCTCCTGCACATCCCCCACCGGGGATGTGCCCGCAACCAATATACATGCTCTTGACCGGAATCAAACCCGGGACCTTTCAGTCCGCAGGCCGACGCTCTATCCACTGAGCCAAACTGGTTTCGGCGAGGGCCTGCACTCTTAGTCGCCATGCTCTCCTGCCTCTGAATCCTCCCTGGGGCCTCCCCGGAGCCTCCCGAGTAGGGTTTTTAGATTGTGTATTTATGTCTGTCTGCCCAACTATGAGTCCCTCCAAGTCAGGACCTTGTCTTACTTTTGCCTCTCAGTCTTCTCCTGGTGCCTACCACATCGTTTACATTAATGGATCGATAAATGGTGGTCACAGTCCAGACACAGCTGCCACACGATGGCGAAATACAGTAACAGAGCTCCCATGGATAGCAGGAAGCGACTGTCCCTTCAAGGTGTCCTCAGCCGCCCGTTAGGCCAGCGGAAACGTTGCCGGTCCCTTCAGGAGCTCTGCCCGAAGCCGGGCCCTTCCAGAAGTTCTGCCGTTTGCCAGGGGGTAGTTTACAGGGAGTAGACTGCAGTGGTGAAGAGGCGAGGAGACGGTTGTTTGTTTTTTAATCTCTGCATTCCTTTTTATTTTTGAATTTTTTAAATTAAAACATTATAAAGTTTCAGTTGCACAGTATAATGGTTTGAGATGAGACAGCTTTGCTGGGGAGAGACTTCTTTCCACTGCCCCCATCACAAAGCCGTGCAGCCTGGAAGCCTGCGGCCCAGGTCTGGTGCCACCATCACAGGCGAGTTCTGACAGGCTCTGGGGGGCAGAGGGGGGATGGGGGCCGCAGTGAGGCTGTCCCGGGGTGTCCGTGGCTGGGCAGAGCGAAGAGCACCTGTCCTGCTCCAGGTGTCTCCAGAGGAGGACCAGGCCTCCCAGGACCTGTGCGGGGGAAGTAGGGGGAGTCTCAGCTGGCCAGTTTCCCGGGGACCAGGAGAATCTCTGAAGCTTATTTTTAAAAAATATATATTTTATTGATTTTTTACAGAGAAGAAGAGAGAGAGACAGAGAGTCAGAAATATTGACGAGAGAGAAACACCGATCAGCTGCCTCTTGCACACCCCCCACTGGGGATGTGCCCGCAAGCAAGGCATATGCCCTTTACCGGAATCGAACCTGGGACCCTTCAGTCCCCAGGCCGACACTCTATCCACTGAGCCAAATCGGTTTCGGCAGAAGGTTTATTTTTTTTTTTAATGTAAAATGTTTTTAAGATGCCACTGCTCAAATAGTATTATAATTATAAAAGATCCAGAATTCTGCCATGTCACCAGATGGTTCAGTTTTTTCATTTTCCCACTTAGTTGTCCACATGCACGACACAATATTGATATGACCATGGTCATAGAACAATCTCTCACAAATATTCATTCCGTTCTCTTAGATTAGAGAAATCGCAAATGCTTATGTAAGAGTTCAAACAGTCCAAGACGTCTAAGACCTTCTCCCTCTCGTTTCCTTTGTTAGAGGTAACCACTGTTCTGTTTGATGAGAGGACGGTGGCTGCTGCTTCTTTTTCTTTTTCTTCTTCTTCTTCTTCTTCTTCTTCTTCTTCTTCTTCTTCTTCTTCTTCTTCTTCTTCTTCTTCTTCTTCTTCTATGGCTTGTCATTAATACATTCATCCATAGTCTGTGTAATTACTGCTTAATATTGCATTAATTATGTGCAAGGAATCATCCTTTCCTCTGCTTACCCCCCCTTCCTAACTAACCCAGATGGAATCCGATTTGAGCACATACGTACGAATTAAATATTATCTGCTCCGGACACAGAGTGATGGGGCGCCGCCCAGAGCCCCGTGTCGCTGCGGTATATGCAAACTTCTCCCCACAGAGCAGAGCAGCAGCCTCAATATTTTGGTATAATTTCCCTTAAACAGTGAAAATCCCCGCCCACCCCACCCATCTTCACCTACGATATAACTTTGCACAGACCTGTCATTCAGCATTTCTCCATTTCGCACTGCGACTACCTGTTCACCACACAGAGACAAGGCCTGCGTCAGGCTGGCTCTTTCACGCACGGTGCCTGGCACGCACTCTCTCTGACATGCTCATGTCCTGACTGACTGAGAAGCAGAGTTTTCTGGAGCAAACACAGCCCCGATGACGGAAATCGCAGTGCTTTATGTATGGACACCTTTTCCTCTCAGTGACTTGTAACCATGGAAACGGTGGGTGCCAGCACTCCTGTGAGGACACAGCTGAAGGCCCAGAGTGCAGCTGCCATCCACAGTACAAGATGCACACCGATGGGAGGAGCTGCCTGGGTGAGTGGTGACCCCCAAACTGGGTGAGGGTCTATCCCAGCCTGCCCATCCCTAACCCTAACCCTGACCCTAACCCTTATCCTCACTCTACCCCTAACCCTAACTAACTCTAACCCTATCCCTCACTCTCATCTTAACCCTAACCCTCACCCTCAGCCTTACCCTCACCCTCATCCTACCCCTAATTCACTCTAACCCTCACCCTCACCCTAACCCTCATCATAACCCTAACCCTCACCCTCGCCCTCATTCTCACCCTCACCCTATCCCTAATTCTAACCTTCACCCTCACACTCATCCTCACCCTCATCCTAATCTTAACCCTCACCCTCACCCTAACTCTCACCCTAACCAATTATTAATGGTGTTTAGCACCAGATGCAGATATTTGCAATGCATTTGGCCCCAAATGGGTCCTGTGCACGTGGCAGTGGGAGTGGTCTAGGGTATAGGGTCCCTCTCTCATGTGCGACCTTTCACCTCCCCTGAATGAGGCTCCTCCTGAGGAGACTGAACAGCACATCCAAGGGGCTAGGGCGATGCCAGGCTGAAGCCGCGGGGACGACACGGTGGCCTCTGTGGTCTGCGGGAGCCAGGATTGCCTATGCTGGGTGGGACGCCTGCCCGGTCTTGCATGGCGTGTCCCTGGCTGGGCTGAAGGCCCTGGCGTGAATCTGAAGCTTGCATTCTCTGGCGTCTCTTTGGTCAGTGCAATAGGCTTCAGAAATCTTTCCATATTATTCACCAAGGCTCTGCACGCTCTGAGCGAGCTGCGTTTCCCACAGCGCCTCGTTACAACACATTATTATCGAGTGAACAGGCGCATTTCTCACATTGTTCTCATGTCTGGGATTTCAGCGGAAGTGGTTGTGCAGGGGATGAATAATCTGACTCATTTCTTGTAGAGCGAGAGGACCCTGCCCTGGAGGTGATGGAGAGCAATGCCACATCGGTGGCGGACGGGGATAAACGGGTGAAACGGCGGCTGCTCATGGGTAGGCAAGACCCCTCACCCTCGCTCCATGCCCACGCTCATTGTCCATTTCCCTCCCAATGTACCACATCAGGCCTGAACCTGGGACCCATGTGCCCTCAGACTAGCTGGACTGGGGTCAGCAGTTCCTGTCAAGCCGTGTGCATCTGATCTTCACCCACCGCTGTTTAGTCATCACCGAGACTGTGGTATTGTGGGAAGAGCACCAGCCCAGCCATCAGAATAACTGGGCTAGTGTCCTAGCGCTGCCCCAGCTAACTGTGACCCTGGTTCACTGCCCTGAGCCTCGTCTCCCTTTAGTCTTTCTTTACAAAACATGTACTAAGACCTACCTCGTAGGGTTGTGAGGAAGCTCAGTTAAGATAATAATATGCACAAGTGCCCAGAGTCCAATGCCTGAGACCTAGTGGGTGTGCAGTAACATGCGGTTTCTCAGAGTGGCAGTTCCCACCCTTCTCGGCAACTGTGAGCAGAGAGGCGTGTCAGGCAGCCCCTTGCGCAGCAAGCTGCTGTGTCTGTTATTTTTGTCCGCTGCATCTCCTCTTTCTGACTGCAGCCATGTTAGCGTCAGGAGAGGTGAACTGATGTTTCTCTCTCTCTCTCTTCCTTTCTGAAATCAACTATATATATATATTTAAAAAGACTTAATAAGGACTACAAGGCTTATAAAGAGATACATCACGTCCTTGTTTCCTAACTCACATTTTCTTTAGCCCATTTGCCAGAGGTAATGATTTTTTTTAAAATATATTTTTATTGATTTCAGAGAGGAAGAGAGAAGGAGATATATATATATATATATATATATATATATATATATATATATATATATATAAATGATAAGAGAGAATCATTGATCAGCTGCTTTTGCATACCCCACACTGGGCATTGAGCCTGCAACCTGGCATGTGCCCTGACCAGGAGTTGAACATGACCTCCTGGTTCATAGGTCAATGCTCAACCACTGAGCCACATCAGCCGGGCAGCTTCATTAAATACTATTAGTACTGCACTCATATCTCCCTCCTCTCGCCTGTGTTAGCACTTCTTTAGGGAGCTAACTGCCTTTTTCTTACCTCCTTGTTAGAAACGTGTGCTGTCAACAATGGAGGCTGCGACCGCACCTGTAAGGATACCTCGACCGGTGTTCACTGCAGCTGTCCCGCTGGATTCACGCTCCAGCTGGATGGGAAGACCTGTAAAGGTGCCTGTGCCTCTCCGTGCTGTGAATGTGTGGGGAGAGAGGCAGCTCTTCTCCTCACACCCCCTGGACTGACTCCAGACTGGCTCATGATTCATATTGATACAAGCCATTCTCCCCGGCTAGGAGAAGGTTATAATTGAGTGAGCTTAATTAGAACCATCTTAATTGCACTAACGGTTGAGAAGGTCAGCTTCTACGTGTATCACACAATCCATTTCAGTCCATGGCCTTATTAGACAAAGGCAGAAGTTCAAGGGAACATTTGTAGGAGATACTATCAACATATCATAAATAACGGCCTCGAGATTATGTAAATAACAGCCAAGATTGTTATCCAGAGAACTTAATTAGTAACTGTGCCTTTAACTTTTACTGATAAGTAGAGACCCTAATGACCTACTAGTATTTCATGGGCAAGACTACAAAGGCTTAGTTCTTCAACATGATAAACAGTAGGTAACCAGTTACCAGATGAAACTTAGAACAGATAAGATTTATTTGAGTATCAGGAATCATTTAAAAGCATTAAGGCTATTTGATTGTTGTGTAATTTGCCAAAACAAATGTTCTATTTCCTTAAGACTTTAATGATTAAACTGGAGTGGAAAGTATACCAGAGGGAGCCACCTTATCTTTTTTTATTTATTTAATATATATATTTTTTATTGTTTTTTTACAGAGAGGAAGGGAGAGTGATAGAGAGTTAGGAACATTGATGAGAGAGAAACATCGATCAGCTGCCTCCTGCACACCCCCTACTGGGGATGTGCCCACAACCAAGGTACATACCCTTGAACGGAATCAAACCTGGAGCCCTTCAGTCTGCAGGCCGACGCTCTATCCACTGAGCCAGACCAGTTAGGGCGAGAGCCACCTTATCTCGAGAGAGCAGTGCAAGGATGAGAATACAACAGGACATCACCATTCTTTCCCATCGATTGTTTCCTAATGCTGGTCAAGGGCAGTGTAAGTCACAGTTCTCAAGGGGTCTAGGTTCTTGTCTTTCACGATTGGTTAAGCCAGACCAGAAAACACATGTAAGATTGAAAACATCAGCGAACATTCTAAAGTGCTTCTATGGTTCTGTTTTTGTTTCAGGGAATCATAAACCACACACAATAGTACTTCAGGGACTTGTGGAAAACAAGGCAGGTATTGCTGTCTGATTTGCCGATGCTTGCCTGTTACAGATATTGATGAGTGCCAGACCCGCAATGGAGGTTGCGATCATTTCTGCAAAAACACCGTGGGCAGTTTTGACTGCAGCTGCAAAAAGGGATTTAAATTATTAACAGATGAGAAGTCTTGCCAAGGTATGTGCTGAAACATAGCTGTGCTGTGCCGTGCCCCGTGGTTGGAGTAGAGAAAACGAGACCCCGCCCTGGCAGACACTGGCTCGCTGGGTTTCTCAGCCGAGTCATTAATCCCACTTCCAACCTGGGCCTCATTGAATTCATCTACCCTGTTTCCCCCAAAATAAGACAGTGTCTATATTAATTTTTGCTCCCAAAGATGCGCTAGGTCTTATTTTCAGGGGATGTCTTATTTTTCCATGAAGAAGAATACGGTACACATTTATTGTTAAATGAAAATAAAGGAAATTTATTACCTGTATACGGTATGGTAGTACGGTAGTTGTCAACACAAACCAGACAAACTGTGAATCCCTACAGTATCAAGAATTTACTCATTTATTCAATGACAATCATGTCATCATCTTCTGGAACATCAGCATAACAATCCAATTCCTGAATTTGCTGGTGAATTTCTTGTGACTCCATTTCTTTCAGAATCAGTGGACCAAATCTCTTATGTTTAGCTGGGGGGTGGGGAGGGTAGGGAGGGGCTTATTTTCGGGAGGATGCCTTATATTTCACTCAGAAGGAAACCTGTAAGTAGGTCTTATTTTCAGAGGATGTCTTATTTTTGAGGAAACATGGTATTAGGTAGAATGAAATCACTGATATATTTTGGAAATTAGTCTGCGAATGACTAGAGAATTCTTCAGAGAACCTACGTGGTGTGATGAGAGCAGAGGTCTAACCTGATGCTAGAGATGCATTGGATCACAGGATGCAAATGGTTGTATTAGGATGTTGAGATTACGAAAATTTCCCCTTTTTAAAAGTTTCTCTTAATGTTATGGATTTTATATATAAAAAATTTGATGGCAAAATATGTAGATTTAGTTAACATGCCTTTTCCCAGCAAAATCTTGGGGTTAACCCATAATCAAGGTCATGAACTAGTTGGTCTCTTCCTTGTAGCCCTTGTTTGTAGTCTTTTGTGCTTGGGGAGAGGAAGGGAGGGGATTGAGTAGAGGAGAGGATGGTGGGTCCTTGGGCAGGAGTGCTGACCCCTTCTCAGATGCATCCCTCCCACATAAGGGGTGCAGCAAGGAACTTCTCTGGGTGACAGTTATTAATATTATAACTGTTTGGGGTGGTGGTAAGTTCTTTGGGGCAGGGGACACCATTTAGATTTTCAGGAAGAAGCTCTCCAAAAAGACCTGCTATCATTTATTCCTATTCCATTTCCGGAAATAAGAATGACCTAAATTAATTTTGTTAGAAATCTCAGAATTTTAAATAAAAATCAGAATATGATCTCTGACTTCACTTCAGATACCGAAGATGTAACATTACCTTTTTTTTTTTTTTTTTTTTAACCTTAGAGTGTGAATTAGGTTTCTTTCTTGGATTTTTCTTCTTAGGCAATGCAAGCATCGTCGTCGTCCCCTTTAAATTCAGTGGGTTCATTCTAGACCATAACTGCGTGGTTTTCGTCCATTTGGCTTGGAAAGCAAATTTGCTGTTCTACATAATGTTTCATAATGTATAGAGCAAGAAATACTGTTTAAGCTGTGTAAACACATTAAAAGGGAATTAGAAAAGTGATCTCATTATTCTTGGCAAAGTGAAAGCCCGTTGTGAGCAGCCAAAGTCAGCTACTGGAAGAGTCTACTTTCCCCACAACTGGCTGATGTTAATAACAGAATTCATACAGTGACATCAATTACATGGGAAGAAACAGACTTTTCCTCATTTTTCACTGATCAGTCTTGGTAGAACAAATATTTGCACAGAACAAATTTGCTGAAGAAATTGCCAAGATTTCTGGGAAAAGCTAGGGAAGAAGAGGTGTTGCGAGAATTTGCCCTTTTTATTTCATTTATTTTTATTCTTCTAGCCCTTCCAAATGTTTGTGTTTTTATTAATGTAGCTTCTCGGGGCACATCTGGTGTTGAAAAGAGGTCTAGCAATGGTCTACTTGGCTCCCACGGAATTCTGCGCTAGTCCTGGTTTATTATCCATTTGGAGACACAAATCGTAACTCTGTCAGAGCCCTCCAAAGAGCTGAGGAAGTGAGCTCTGAAATTCTAGTCTACAGGGAAGAGGTAGTCTTGAGGCTAGTTTTCAGGACCTCAGCTGAAGCCAGGGATGCCTCCACTGAACCAGGATGGGAGGAGGAACAAAGCCAAGGGATTGGCCAAGAGGAACCAGCGTGGAGCTTAGGCACCAAATGTCAGTGTCTGCAGTAGGGAAATTACTGAGGACGTTGGCGTTAATGTGTTCCTTTAGTGCAGAAGGCATTAAAATCCAGGATCAACTAGTGCAGAGGGCATTAAAACCCAGGGTCAACTGGCCTTCCGTGGCCAGAAGACTCCTTCGGGGAAGATCAGAAGGAGAAGAACCAGAGTAATCTCCAACACAACTGTCCTCTCCTTTCAATTTGCCCTAGCTTGTGGAATTACCACTGCTGTTTAGTAATACAGCAACAAGAATGCATAGGCTGCACCTTACCTTTTACAAACCCTTTTTAGGTATGCTACCTCATTTACATATTTTAAATTAGCCAGCCCCGTGAATAAGCATGATGTTAATAACAGTGAGAGGGAGCAGCTGAGCCCACAGGCAGTGCAATTTGCAACAGAAATTGGAAAGAAGGGTCCTGGCAGGGAGTATACTTATTGTGGGCTGCTCAACACTTAAAAAAAAAAAAACAAAAAAAAACCCCCACACACACACAAGTGAGTGGGAGAACTCCTAGGTAATGTTTTATTCGGTTTGTGTTGTTTTCTCCAGCAACTGGTTTATTATAAATGTGTTCTCGCCTCGCATCCCTGAGAGTTGGTCTCAGGTGCCCTCTCCCTTTACAATTACAGATGTGGATGAATGCTCCTTGGATAGGACCTGTGATCACAGCTGCATCAACCACCCTGGCACATTCACGTGCGCCTGCAACAAAGGGTACACCCTCTATGGCTTTACCCACTGCGGAGGTGAGCAGAGCATCCTTGAAGTCAGAGACTGGGCCAGGAGAGGAAAAGGGCTTACTTCTAAAGTGTCCCCAGCATTGCTGAAACCGGTTTGGCTCTGTGGATGGAGCATCGGCCTGCGGACTGAAGGGTCCTGGGTTCCATTCCGGTCGAGGCATGTGTCTTGGTTATGGGCACATCCCCAGGAGGGGTGTGTGGGAGGCAGCTGATCCATGTTTCTGACTTTCTATCCCTCTCCCTTCCTCTAAAAAAATCAATAAGATATATATATATAAAATAAATAAAGTGTCTCCAGCAGATGAGGGCTAGTTTTCCAACATTGGGGAATGAACCGAACATTCCAGTCCGTGTGCAGTGGCATTGAATCCATCAACTCAAGGGAAGCATCTGCTAATGGACACTCCCTCCCCTCCCCCCATTTATCCCTTTAACATTTCAAGTGTGATATGAAGCAGAAGAGCTAAGCTCTTCAGCTGTGAATTCTTTATTGGCTATATTGAGATGGCTGTATTCAGAGAATGGAGAATTGCTCAGGAGCTGATACCCTATCCATTGGAATTTCCCAGCAGATCGTAAAGTCGCTCGGCCGGCCACCAGCAGTTCCACAGCTTTGTAGTACATAGGAACGGACTGCAAAGCCTGATCCAGCCCTTTGAGCTGCTCTGTAAGCAGGTCTTTTTTAAAAAAAATATTTTTTTTTATTGATTTTTTACAGAGAAGAAGGGAGAGAGAGAGCTAGAAACGTCGATGAGAGAGAAACATTGACCAGCTGCCTCTTGTACACCCCCTACCGGGGATGTGCCTGCAACCAATGTACATGCCCTTGACCGGAATCAAACCTGGGACCTTTCAGTCCGCAGACCGATGCTCTACCACTGAGCCAAACCGGCTTCGGCTGTATGCAGGTCTTTGAGCTGGAAGTTGGGCCACTGACTCTCTCTCTGCCCTGTGCCCAGGCAGCAACAGGTCCCAATGTCATTTGCCCTCCTGGTCAAGGAGACAACATGGCATAGGTCAGATTTGGCACCAAATGACTCCCCCTCCGCGCCCCTGGTCAGCAGGCTCATTCAGCGGTCTTTGAGAACACAGATTTAGGTTCTGGCTCAGCATATCTGGGGTTGCCAAGGTGGTTCTGAGGGTCTGAGGATCTGGGAGCCACTGGCCTAAATATTCCCTGCTCAGTGTTTGCATCCTGTGCTTAAGGAGAATGGATAATAGTGATTTGCTATAGACAGTGTTATCTCTCTTCTCCTTTCCAATACATTCTTGGCACAATTGAAAACCTTCTAGCCCATCAAGAAATCCCACAGGTATATTCCTTGAATCCCGGTGTGTGTCTGGGTTTTGGTTAGAACCACCTCTGACATGGACTCAGTCTCAGATTGATGGAGATCAGTGCAGCTCATTTTCCTTCTCTAGACTTCAGCTCCATGAACTGTCAGGGGGTCTTGGTTGTCTATTTCCCTTGGAATGTAGCTCATGGGGATGGCGGAGATTTAATTTGGAAGCCTGTACAGCCTGTGAGTTTGAGCATCTGAAAGTAGCTGCTTCTTCGAATTTGCAATTCAATGTGACTCTTTCCGAGGGTCCCTAGTCAGGGAATGGTTTGGTCAAGAATGGAACTCGAGACTGTCCTGACTAGGCTCATGCCAGGAAATCCAGGGGGTGGAGAGTGGGGTCAGTTGGTGCCAAGCACACATCCTAAAGGCAGTCGGCACCTGCCGTTTGTTTAGTGAGTTCCAGCCACGTGACTCCCCTCCCGCTCCTTCTTCAAAGGAAGGAGGGTGCCAGCAGGTCGGTGAGGGGCTGCTGTGACAGGAGCTGCTGTGTTTTGTTCCCCAGACACCAACGAGTGCAGCATCCACAACGGAGGCTGTCAGCAGGTCTGCGTGAACACGGTGGGCAGCTATGAATGCCAGTGCCACTCTGCATACAAGCTCCACTGGAACAAAAAAGACTGTGTGGGTAAGGGGCACCGTGGCTCAGACAGCCAGCGGGCTCCCACCGGCCAGCTGCACTCAGAGTGCTGCTGCCGTCCCTCCCCGGAAGTGTTTCCCCCTCAGCTGTAGCAGCTACTCCTTACAGAGTTCAAAAACAGGAGATACTTTGCAGGCTCTTTGGTGTTGCCTTCTGTGCTTCTGGTGTAGGTTTTTGCTCACTTCTGTTTTTCTGGTTGCTTTTATGCATGGGGAAAAAAATAGCATACAAATAGCTCCTGTTCCTTGGTGGGGAACATTGCCCGGTGTCTTGTGTTCTATGCTGGGGGTCAGCTTTCCCTTCTTTTCTTGGGCCTTTGCTGCATGGGACCCAGCCGTCTTGGCCACACCTGGAAGTGTCCTTCTGTGTCTGTGAATGTCTGTATTTTGTCCTGCCTAGAAGTGAAGGGGGTCCTGCCCGCTAGTGTGTCACCCCAGGTGTCCCTGCACTGCGGTAAGAGTGGCCGAGGAGACAGGTGCTTCCTCAGATGTCACTCTGGCATTCGCCTCTCTTCAGGTGAGTGGTCCCTGGGGCAGGTCCTCATGCCAGGCCCAGGCCTTCCTGGCCTTGAGGTGTTAGCTGCCCTCAAAGGGATCCCTCCTACCCCAGCCACTGGAGGGATCCCTCCTACCCCACATGCTGGGTGTTTGTCTCAGGGTCTGTGTGGCGTGAGGGTTGGGGGTGATCTTAGCAGCTATCAGGAGAGACTGTGCCTTGTTACCATGTTGACCATCCACGTTCTGTCTGTCAGGACTGCAAGAGGCCTACTCTGTCACCTGCGGCACTTCCCCTCCTCTCAGGAACAAACAGCAAAAATCAAATGACTCTGCTTTCGGGGGTAATGACCAAATCTGCGTGTCCTCTCTGGGGCTCATGGTGTTCCGTGGGCTTCACTCTGGGGCGCTGTTCCTGGGGGTTGGCTTTGTTTTCTTTTCTCTTTGTCTCCTCAAGGCTGTGAGTGTGTCACAGGATGCTCTGGCCTGTAGCCTAGGTGCCTGCACTCCCACATACCGTGTGACAGACACTTACTGTGTCCGCTGTGTGGTGGGCGGCTCCGTGCTCAGCCCTGTTGGGCCCTCATATTGGGCAGAGGCTTGCAGAGTTCTGGGAGCAGAGGCTTAGGTCTCCCAAACTCCCCTACCCTAGAGCACCCCAGAGGCCCAGCAGAAAAGTTGGCCTGGGGTACGTGGCATCGGTGGAGATAGGCGTGGGAATGACAGGGGGAGCAAGAATTCTGTCCAGAGAAAGGACCCCAAACCCCTTTTGCTTTGTCAAAGCAAAAGAATGAAATTTGAAGCTTTTAGGCAGCTTCCTCTTCCCAGATTTAGACATCTCTGTGACGAATGAAGAAATGGTTCCTGATGTCCGTGTTCTATACTCGGGCAAAGCTACAGCGCGAAGCAGGATACTAACCGCTCGCATCTGCCGATCAAATAGTTAAAACATGCCACCCACCGTGTTACACGTGTTAGCTGACTTAACCCACATCACAGCCCTCTAGGGCAATTTGACTATTATTTTCATTAGCAGATGAAGAGCTGAGGTTCAGAGAGGTGAGCTAACGTACCCAGAGTGGCTCAGATAGGAAACACCGGAGCCAGGGTTTTGACCAGGCCGTCTGCATCCAAAATCTTAAGCTTTTCCCTTTCCCGTTCTACTTGCCTAACATTGGACCAGCCAGAGCAGACATCCTGATATGTTTCACCAAACCCCTCAGGGATGGTCACTTGGAGATTTAGGCCAAGGATGGGCAAGCAAATAGTTCACAATTCTTTCTCTGTATCAAAGAGTAGGCTAAACATTTTTTTTATGTATGCCCTTTTCTTTTTCTTTTTCTTTCTTTCTTTCTTTCTTTTTTTTTTTTTTAATATATTTTATTGATTTTTTTACAGAGAGAAAGGGAGAGGAGAGAGATAGCCAGAAACATCGATGAGAGAGACACTGATCAGCTGCCTCCTGCACATCCCACACCAGGGATGTACCCACAACCAGTGTCATGCCCTTGACCAGAATCGAACCTGGGACTCCTCAGTCCACAGACCAACGCTCTATCCACTGAGCAAACTGGTTTCGGCAACATTTTTTTTTTTTCTCTTCATTATCTCATTCTTCACAACAGCCTGGTAATGTAGGTCCCATAATTATGTCTATTTTTGTAGATGGGAAAACTGAGAACCAGGGAGATTACGTTCTCATCACAAATTGAGAAGTTAGAGTTTGAATCCTCGTCACTGGCTCCAGAGCCTCACATGTGGTTAGGACTGACCATGGGAGGAGAGGAGAATTCTGCACACAGGCTCTCAAAGTGAAGGCCTCCAGATCCTGAAAATCCGAGCCACGTTTAGTGAGTGCATTCAGTGGGGACTGGTGGCCCCAGCCCTGTCCTCCCAAGCAGCCTCATTTAGAGACTCTGCCCTTCCCCATGTTCTCCAGCAGCTTGTCCAACTTTTTGAGCTAGGGGATTTTGGTCTGTCTTGGGAAGGCATGAAAAATGAACTCTTTTTTTTTTTTTTTTTAAATCTCACTGTTGAGGTAGTTTTGGGCACCTTATTCATCTCAGATGGACGAGTGCAGTTCTTAGGCGGCTCCTGGGAACAGAGCGTTGCCCATCACCTGTCAGCCGCAGGTGATGGGCTCGTGGTGAGAGAGGAGCTCAGGGTGTGCAGCATGCGGGGGACCCAGCCAATAGGCAGTTCTCTGTACCCAGCTGGTGTTCCCCTTCCTTTGCCTCTGAAGGTAACCTCTCTCACTTGTTTCTTTCTGAAGATGTCGCCACCATCAGGACAAGTGTAACCTTTAAGCTAAATGAAGGCAAGTGTAGTTTGAAAAAGGCTGAGCTGTTTCCTGAGGGTCTGCGACCAGCACAACCAGGTACGGAACCAGGTGGCCAGCGCAGGGAGCCTGCCTGCACGTTGGGAAAGGGGCCGTGATCAGCTCGAGCCCTTCAGATGGGGCCCAGCAATCCAGAATCTCCAAGGACTCTCTGCCCAGGAGGAAGAGGGGCCTAGCCTAGCGTCCCGTGTAGTTCTGGGTTAGACCCCGGCATCTCCTTTGCGAGGTGCAGGTTGGGGGAGCTCCGGGGAACCCTGTGAGTTCACAGGAACCGATAAGGGCTCTCAGATGCATGAGCACTCTGTGATCACACTGGGTTAAATTTCCCAGATCTCCAAGTTTGCTCAAAATATAAGCCAAAGAAATGAAAAGAGCTTTGGCTCGGAGAGGATAATCTGTGATGAACAAGGATGGGATATCCAGCTTTCCTGCTGGATCTGGTTTCTGGAGGCTTCCGCAGAGCAAACACTATCCAACTGGCCTTATTGAGGAGAGCAGGGCCCAAACCCCCCTCTTCTCCCACAGCTCACATTTCCAGGATTGTTTCGTAAAAATAATTTTAGAGGGTACAAAAATCAGAGTTCAAGTGTAAGGGAGGCTTCTTTCCCCAATCTACCCTCAAGTAAATCATGCAAACAAACGAATACACAGCTCACTGTAGACACTTTGGACTGCCTTTTAAAATATATGTATATATTTTATTGATTTTTTTACAGAGACTTAATAACATCTATATGAGAGAAACATTGATCAGCTGCCTCCTGCACATCCCCTAACCAAGATAAGTTTTGGTACCTCCATATAAGGGAAGATTATGCAGCTATTAATTATATGTTCCAAAGAATATTTAATGACATAGGAAAATGTTCTTGTTATAAGATGGAAAATGGGGGAGTAACACTTTGTATATCTAATACAACCCAGATTGTGTAAACAAAAAGAAGAAGGTAGGTGGAAAAACCCCTCAGCATGTCACTTGAACTGGTTATATCTGGGAGGGAGGATGATGGGTGGTTTCATTTTTATTTTCTTCTGCATTTTCCAAATTCTCCACAGTGGGCATTTATACTTTTAGATTAGAAGGAAAAAATGTTATTAAAAAATAGATTTGGTTTTTAGATTACTTAATGGTGTTGTGCTAATGTTAGTTTTTTAGTTTTTATAAATGTACATGTTTGTTTAAACATTTATTTAAAATATATTTTTATTGATATCAGAGAGGAAGGGAGAAGGAGAGTGAGATAGAAACATCCATGATGAGAGAGAATCATTGATCGGACTGCCTCCTGCACATTCCCTACTGGGGATTGAGCCCACAACCTGGGCATGTGCCCTTGACCAGAATGGAACTGCAGGCCAATGCTCTATCCACTGAGCCAAACCAGCGAGGGCTAAATGTACATGTTGATGGAAGAAGTTAGTTAACTTCAGGGGAGCGTTGGTGAAGAATCAATGAAAACTCTCAGGGTTATCTTAGCAACTTTGCTGTAATTCTAAATGTACTTCAAAACAAAAAGTTAAAAAAAAATCGACATGGAAAATTGAAAGGGGGAAATGAACATCTGTTTTCTTAGACATTTAAAGTTAACCTTTCGGAAAAAGTACAATCGATCTTAGGGGAAATAGATAGAGGGCACATTGAATTGGCCTTTTTCTTTCTTTGGCTCCTGGTGAATGGTAGAACTTCGAACACCCTTCTAATGTTAAAGAAGAATATGATACAGATGATATGTAAATTCAAGAAAGCAAGATTTTAAATAGAGACAATTCAATTGTGCGGATGATACATGGCTCAGCTCTTTGATTCGGGTTAACAATCGTTAGTTAGCCCGGCCGGCTGTTGTGGCTCAGTGGTGGAGCATTGATCAGGGAGTCACTGTCCAATTCCCAGTCAGGGCAGATGCTCAGGTTGCAGACCCCAGTGTGGAGCATGCAGGAGGCAGCTGATCGATGATTCTTGAGCATCATTGATGTTCTCTCTCTCCCCCTCTCTCTTCCTCTCTGAAATCAGTAAAAAATATATATTTAAAAAAAAACAAGAAAAACCACACAAAACAATTTAAAAGATTCACTGGAAGCCAGAGGTGGGGCTTGGGAGGGGTGTGGGGAGGGGGATGACAGCCAACGTCAGCCCCAGGGATGTTTAAAAAAACATCTCTGATATCAATAAAAATATATTTTAAAAAATTTTAAACAAAGTCAGCCCTGCTTTATCCAACACTTTCATTCCCATCCTAGATGCCTTCATGATACTGTTTGGTTCTGTTGGTTCTTTGTGCCATATATGTATGGCTCCAGCTTATTTCAAAATGAGACGTCACCGTTGATGTGCGTCGCAGCTTCCCCTTTGGGTTGGAATTACTTCAAGGCCAGTTTGCCTGAAAGCAGGAGTCGGCTCCCTGCTTCCCACTCCTGTGCTCATTCCTTATGTGAAGCCTCAGCCCCTTCTTGGCACATCACAGCCCAGCGTTAAGGAAACCAACTGTGAGAGCCGGAGTGCATGCTCCTCAGCAGACCCGCCCTCAGGAGTGCGAGGTGACCCTGGTCCCTGCCTGTCCCGTGTGTGGCTGATCAACCGAATGTATCCATGAGAATCATTTCCAAGGGCTCCCTTGTTAAGTTATAGAGGAGGCGATGCTGACTCTTCAACATCAAAATGTCATCGTGCTGCAGGCTGAGGGCTTTCAGCGTCGTGGCATCTGGAGCTAATCACTTGGTCCCCCGAGAGTGGTTTTAATGAAATGTTTACTGAGCTCTCGCGAATGTTGGGAATTTGGCTCCCGATGGTTTTGTTTCTTCATGCAGAGAAGCACAGCTCAGTAAAAGAGAGCTTCCGCTACGCACACCTCACATGCGGCTCCCGCAAGCAAGTGCCCGGCGCCCCGGGCCGACCGAGCGCCGCTCAGGAAGCGTTTGTCACTGTTGAGTTTGGGCTTGAAACTAACCAAAAGGAGGTGACAGGTTGGTTTGAAAGCAGGCCACGGTGCCAGGCCTCTCACAGCTTGCTCCTTGTTCCTTTGCCTTTCACTTTCCATTCTTCCTGGGTGGGGGATGTAAGCGCCACCACTGAAGTATCTCCTGTTTTTCCCCCCACCCCCAAACTAAACGGAATTGGTTTGAAACCTGTTAGATTTATCTGCTTCATGAAAACCCAAAGCTACCATTTTGGTCAACAAATTTCCGTTGGTACCGAATGCTGCCCAGCCTGCTAGGTGCCCAGTCCAGGTCTCCCCACTCTGACCACAGGGGACTGGGGGGCCCTGCTCATCCTCTTGGCTGCAGCCGGTAGCCCCCCCACCCCCCAACACACGCACCGCTGTCCTCTCGTTCCTGCAGCTGCTTGTGATCTGAGCTGCGTGGTGAAGCGCACAGAGAAGAGGCTCCGGAAGGCGGTCCGCACACTCCGGAAGGCTGCCCACAGGGAGCAGTTCCACCTCCAGCTCCCCGGCACGGACCTCGAAGTGGCTAGGAAGTCCCCCCGAGCGTCTGAACGCCGGGCAGAGGCCTGCGGAGCGGGCCAGAGCCACATCGGAAGCCAATGTGGTGAGTGGCCCGTTGGCCAGCACATTCTTTAAACAGAGCTGCTTACAGCTCCACAGACACTGAGGTACCAAACGTCTGGCCCCGTCTTCCCCTGTCTGGGCTCACTCCAGAGAACACCCTGGCTGTCCCCTCCTTTGGGAACCACATGGTGGTGGTGTCTGGTGTATGTGCTGGACCGGGAGCTCCCTAGCACCTGGCTTCGTGCCTGGCTGGTGGTGGCACTCAGGAGATGTTTGCTGAATGGAGGGACAGAAGGGAAGAGGCAGGGATGATGAGAAGAGGGAGCGTTTCCCTGGTAGGGTCTGAGGGACAGTTCCGCTGGGGCAGAACTGCAGGGATAAGGCACCAGGAGCCTTCTGTACACTCCCCTGTCACAGCTCCCCTCCTACCTCTGGCTCGGCTGGTGGTGGCAACGCACAATCTCCTGCTCACAGTTTCGTGCAGAGGCAAGGCTGCCTCGTGAGATCCCTGAGCTGCAGCCCAAGGTTCCTCGTAGTGTCAGCCTCATGGATGTAGGTATGTGTGAGTGTGAATTAAACTTGAGATCCGGCGTTTGTGCAGCATCAGTTCTGTTCCTCTGATGACGTTCCAGGCAAGGCGAACCTGGGCAAGAGGTTCTAGAGTGGCTGGTCTTGAGATTTGTTTATTTTGAGAAACTGTGCTGGGCAATTGTGGGAGATTCTAGCTAAAAAGTCTTAGATGAAGAACATTGGGAGTCTCATTCTACAGTAACGATTTATGATGCTGATGCATTGAGTTCTGACCTGGCCCAGGTACAACCCTGTGTCTAAGCACTGTGCTGCATTATATTATTGGATCCTATTATATATCTTACCGGGTAGGTATGGCCTTCACCTAAGAGCTACAGAGGGTGGAACTCAGAGGGTTAAGTTCTCTTGCTCAAGATCACGAGGATGGGCCGACCGCAAAGCCAGACCTTTCTAGAATAAACTGATGTCCTGTCGGAAGTGTCATTAGAATCTCAAGTCTCTAGAAACGGAGCTTGAGCTGAGGAGTAATACATCCGTGTCTCTGAAGAAGCAAAGCTGAACTCCCAGGTACTCATTCAAGAGAATTGTCAGCAACAGCCCCACAGCCCAAATCTGTTGCTTTACCAAAACGTAGTAAATATCATGTATAAAATCAAGTGTAACTGTCCACCAGTGGCTGGTTCTCAAATAGTCTTGACTTTTATTCCAGCTGACTCTCTTAAAAAGAAGGAAAAAAAAAAAAAAGTAAACATAACACAGCTGGTTGGCTTGCTCTCGTTTGAAATTCGAAAGTTCCAGTTTCTGTACCAAAATGGTGATGAGAGTTGGCTGTTGCTGCCCTACTTTCCAGGATGAGTTTCAGAAACGTTCAGGGATGGTCAGGCTGGGCCTCCTCCTGGCCCCTCGGAGCGAAATCCTCCCTCATTTCTCCATTGGCCACCTGTTAGGGAGAGGCCTGGTGGCTCGCCAGGAGCCTTTGTGGCCAGTTAACAATGTAGGGAAAACTAGTGTCAGGGCCTGTGGACCAGCTCCCAGTGAGAGTATTACCAACACTACTAAGTGTGTGCTTCTGGGGTGTAGAGGCTCGGCATGAGGACCAGGAGTTGCTTAAACAGAGGCCTCATGGCCATGACAGCTTATGAAAGTCACTCGGCATGGGATGTATGCAGCTGGTCATGCTAAGTTAGGTTGGACTCATTGCTCAGGAAGGCACTGTATCTTGTCTCAAGAGCTCCCTCTAGCAATGGATGGGTTTTGTAGCCCACATGGGACCAAACCAGGTTCACCCTGTCGGCAGCAATGGTGAGGATTTAGAGGAAACAGCACAAAGAATTACTAGTGAAAATTCTTCCTCCTGCTGGAGGAAGGAAGTTGGTGCAAAGAGCTATTGGGTGTGTGATTAGAAAGCCTTTTTACCCAGTAGATTCATGGCACAAGCAAGCTCAGTGTGTGTGTGTTTGTGTGTGTGTGTGTGTGTGTATCTGTCTGCCCGTCTCAATTCTGGTCTATTTGATGGTATTAGAACTTTGTAAGCACCAGGATTATTGGTATTTTCTGAACTAAGAATGGTACATACCATAGAGACAAGCTTAATGTAGAAGATGGTGGAAAGGATATGAAGAACAGGAAGTGGTGAACTGTAATAGAGCCAGGGCATGGGGGAAGAGTAAGGAGGTGCATACTTTCCAAAATGTAGACTATAGTCTTGCAAAATGTCATTTGGGCAGAGATGTGAAGGACAGAAGAAGCAAACCATGGGGATATCTAAAAGTCCCAAGCAAAGGCACCAGCAAATACAGAAATCCTGGCATTTGAAAGAAGACCAGCTTGATGAGAGCTGAGGAAGGGGAGAAGGAAGAAGAGCAGGTCACCTGGGGAGTGGAAATGGTGGTGAGGACCAGGGACTTTGAACCTGAGAAGTGAAGCCAATGAAGGGTGTTGAGCAGAGGAATGACAGAGTTCTGACTTAAGTCTTAAAGGACAACTTTGGCTGCTTTGTTAAAAATAGAATATAGATGTATGTGTGGAAATTTTTTTAAAAAAATGTACTAGTATAATTTGAATAGTGTTCTGTGCTGTTTTTAACTAGAGTAGATCACTATACCTTTCCATGCTAATAGACAAGCTAACTTCTTTCTTTCTTTTTCCTCTCTCTCTCTCTCTCTCTCTCTCTCTCTCTCTCTCTCTCTCTCTCTCTCTCTCTCTCCTTTCCTGAGGATATGTTTCTACTGATTTTAGAGAGAAAGGAAGGGAGAGGGAGAGAGAAACATTGATTGGTTGCCTCTTGTATGCGTTCCAAATGGGGATTGAATGCAACCTGCATATGTGCCTTGACTGGGAATTGAACCCACAACTCTTTCATGCAAGGAGGATGCTTCAACCAACTGAGCCACACCGGCCAGGCTAACTTACTTCTTTTAAAGCCTTCTAATCCTTTTTTAAAATACCAGTATTTATTAACCATATCAAATAGCCACTCTGTTGGCAGATGTTTTAATTATTCATATTTTTTAATTGCAAACAATGCTGCAATGAATATTCTTTTTGTGCACATGACCAATACTTCTGAAGGATAGACTTTTAGAAGTGCAATTGCTAGTTTCGAAGGAAATGCATACTTAAAATGTTAATAGATACTGCCAAATTGCTCTCCAAAAATATCATACTAATATATATTCCCTCCAACATTGTAATTTAGTTCTTATTGCCTCACATCATTGCTAACATGGGTCATTTATAACTGATTTTTTAAATTTTTGCAGATCTGATAAGCAAAAATGATGAAGTCATTTTAGCTTGTTTTTCTTTGATCATTTGTAAGACTGAGCATGCTGTCATATATCTGTGACCATTTGGATTTCTAGTTCTGAAAATATCCATATTTTTTGCCTATTTTCCCACAGAATTATTTTTCTAATAACACTTAAAAAATAAAATTTAAAGTTCCAAATTACATCAAAGAACAGTCACTTCTGACCAATTAAATACTTTCTTATAGTCACTTTTATAGAGCAAAGTCTCATTAATTTGGCATTCCAGGACTTTGGGGACAGCCTGTTCTGCAGGTGACCTTTGTACCATCTGTGATCAATTTTAGCAAGATGGGGGAAAAAGAGACAGCAGTTATATTCTCCAAAGAACAAATTCCTTAAGTGCCATAATAATTCATAAAGTCCTTAATAGCTAAAGAAGAATTAATCATGACATGGATTTCTAGCTGTTTTTTTTGTTCAGAGCTATTTATCCTTTCATTTAAAAAAAATTAAGAAATATACTTGTGGTTGAAACCAGTTTGGCTCAGTGGATAGAGCATCAGCCTATGGACTGAAAAATTCCAGGTTCGATTCCAATCAAGGGCACATACCGTATTTTCCGACGTATAAGACGACCCCCTAATTTTACAGTTAAAACATAGGTTTAGGCCTATATTCGCTGTATAAGACTACCTCCCACTTCCGAGGCAACACCAGTTGTTTTTCTAATAGACCACTTCTCTGACTCTGGCCAATCTGAGCAGGCTTTTTTTCTAGTTCAAAGGTCGTCTTATACGCCGGAAAATACGGTACTTTGGTTGTGGGTGTGCAGTAGGGGGCGTGCAGGAGGCAGCTGATAGATGTTTCTCTCTCATCCATGTTTCTAACTATCTCTCTCCCTTGCTCTCTGTAAAAAAATCAATAAAATATGTGTTTTTTTTTGTTTGTTTTTTTTTTAAAGAAATATACTTGTGGTCTGGCCTGTGTGGTTCAGTTGGTGGGGTGTTCTCCCATGCACCAAGAGGTTGCTGGTTCGAACCTGAGTCAAGGCACATGTCAGGGTTTTAGGCTTAATCCCAGTGGGGGGTGTGCAGGAGGCAGCTGATCGATGTTCCACTCACATGGATGTTTTTCTTTCTCTCTCCCACTCTCTTCCTTTCTCACTAAATATCAATAAAAATATTTTAAAAAAAGAAATACTAGTATGCTTGCTACTCTACATATTTTTCTATTTGAGTATTCTTAAAACTTGTTGAGATTTTTAAAAGACACAATCTTGGCAACTGAGAAGCGGGGAAATATTTTAGTGCCTGGGTTCTTGAGAGACTAGGAACGTTTAATTCTGCTTTTAACAGCTGTAGCTTTCCTCTGCAGCAGTTGAGGAAAATGAATTCAATCAGTATTTATTGCAATACCATTCTGTGTCACTCTGTGAACTTGGGATAAAGCATGAGAATATAATGGGTGAGAGGCCTGCTTTTATGAAGGTTACAATCCAACAGAGAGGGAAGGACAATAAAAAGTAAAGAAGAAAGATGATTTCCAAAGTTGTAAGTGCTATAAAAATAATAAAACAGAGAGGAACAGAGGAAATAAGGGAGACTCTCCACGGGGTACTCAGGGAAGGCTCTCAGAACAGGTGATATTTGAGGGATGACCTATGTGGGAAGAAGAACCATGCTCTTTTTACAGACACAGAAACAAAAGCAGAGGGAGGCAATCCATTTCCCCAATGTCACCCAGTGAGTACATAGCA